TCAGCCAGGCCAGTCTTCTTCCCCACCAGTTCATCTCTGAGCACATGGGGACGGCCCACTCCTGCACCTTTAAGATTTGCTTCTTGAAGAATGTCCAGCCTTCCCGGACTCCTTTGCCCTTCACGACTGCCTCCTAAGGCACTCTGTCAACCAGGCTCCTAAACAGGCCAAAGTCTGCCCTCCGGAAGTCCAAGGTGGCAGTTCTGCTGACCCCCCTCCTTACTTCTCCGAGAATCGAAAACTCTATCATTTCATGATCACTATGCCCAACATGGCCTCCAACCATCACATCACCCACAAGTCCTTCTCTGTTCACAAACAACAGGTCCAGTGGGGCGCCTTCCCTAGTTGGTTCACTCACTACGTATCGCTACATACTCAAATCCAGCTTGCTAAATAGAAACTTCAACATTTCTTTTGAAGAATCCTGCATCTCAAAGGGTTTTTGATTCCTGAAATTCAGCAGGGATCAGGCCCACAAGGTCACTCATATGCCTTTCATTAATTTCCCTGAAATTGTGTGTGTGCTGGGGAGAGAAGGGGACTTAAAAAATTTATTTTGCCTATACACAGTTGATTATGTTAGACAATAAGGGTAATGTCACAGGATTGCATAAAGCCAATGAACCCAAATTAATTTTCGAGTGAAGGCTACAGGTATCAAGCTGAACCCCCCTTTGCTGCTAGTCCAGCCCTTAGAGTGCTGCCCCTGGTGCTTTGCTCTGGAGAACGAGAGACATGTACTCCTCCCCATTATCAGCTCAGTGTAGAGGGACGGGTATGTGCAGTCAAGATCGGACCTGCTTCTCCTCACAACCTGGACAAGGAGCCCCTCTTTCACCCTGCAGGACCTCTGACTCACCCCGCACGCACTGTGCTTGGTGCAGGAAGCAGTTGATCACTATTTTGTTTATCTTTGATGTTTTGCATCAGTGGAGCACTACTCTGAACAATTCGTTTCTTCCCCCCCACCAGGGCTTCAGCAGCACAGCATCTGAAGGCTTCACAAGCCCTGATGATTTAAGCCTCCCAAGCAGCTTGTGGGGTCAGCGTCACCTCCCTGTTGCAGACGGCAAGCATAGAGGCACAGGCAGTAAGTGAGTAACCCAAAGTCATGCAGTTTTCTGCCATTTGTGAGGTGATGGTAACTCAGCTTCTTCTAACAGATCCCTGCCTCTTTCACACTACATTTGCTACAGCTTGCACAGAGAATCAAGCACAACGAAGCCTACACTAAAGGCCACTTTCAACACTCAACCTGTTATGACAAGAACAAGAAGTACCCTGCTCCCCAGACCCACCAAGTTCAACCTACAACTGAGCATGTTTTAAATGTGCATATAGACATTTAAATCAAATACTCCAAATAACCTTTAAATTTAATGGAAGCTGAGTACACAGAGATCTCAGTAAGGAAATCAACTACAGCTCCTTTTGTTTTATCTATGTGAATGAATTAATTTATCACTCAAACCCTTAGATATTCAAAGGCTGGATTTAATGCTGGACTCCTAAATCTATGCTGCATAATGCAATTAAACTGTCAGGCCCTGCATGCTGCACACCCACACTTCTCATAACAGCTGAACTGGGACTATCACATTATTTTCAACGTCTCAGAAAGCTTTTAGGACTTTTAAACAGATGAGGAGGTGCTAATCCATTTTGAAGTTCCAGTGTTGCATTTCTCCCACTGAGTGACACCCTGTAGACATGTCTTCCTCCATGACCCTTGTCCCAAGCCTTTTTTTCGTTGTGTACCAGCTTTCTTTCTCAACGGGCAAGGGGATGGCAGGAGAAGAGGAGCAGGCCCCTCAGACCACGGGGGCACTGTCACAAAGGAGGGGAGTTTTTTCAGATCAGGTGCCTATAGCTAAGATGTCTGCATCTGACATGGCTCTCCAGGTGATCTTGTTTAGTGATGGAGAGGAACAGGCACTTCTGGGCTGTATGTCACCTCTTCTGCTGCAGGATGAGACAGGTAAGACTTGAAAGTATCTATTTCTCTTCACGGACTATAAAGGAAACCAGGACAACTAGCTCCAGCACTAGTTGTGTCTATATTGTAGACATCTGTGTTTAGCCACCCAAACCACACCTGAGGTGTCCATACCATGACTGCAAGAGAGAGGAATTTTCTGAGCAGCCATTTAGCCTTGCTCCAGTCACCTCACTCCCTTAGATTAAAATGTGGTAGCACTGTCCACTGACACCTTGACATACAGGAAACCCGTCCCCAGACGTGCTCTGGCCAGTAAGCAGGGCATGCTTTGCTCTCCTCTCCGCAGTAGACTACTGCCAGAGACACATGTCAAGGAGGGTTGGGGGAAATCAACAGTTGCCACCTGAATCCGGTGCACAGTATGTGAAGGCCAGTGCACTGTGGAGTAGGAACAGGCCTTTTGTGTTAGATGGTCCTTGAATCATGGCGGGGTTTCAGTCCATGGCACACCATGAGCGTTAGAGGGAAGAAGACAGCAGGAGCAAGGAGGAACATACCCTTGCTATCTCACTGACCTACACCAAGGGGTGCCCACTTGTCTGGATATTCACATTCCTGGCTTTTCACTTCCCTTGCCATTTCTGCCATTTGCTCAGTGAATGAAAGAGCTGAAGAAAAGGCATAGCGAGCTGAAACATCCTGAAAATGCTGAGCTGCCTTCCAGCACACCAAAGAGAAAGAAAATCTCTACGTAGAGATGAAGCTGGCCCTGCCACACCACTGTTTGGACCAGACAACCTCTGAAGGTCTCTTCATACCTATCTCTTTTGAGCACTCCACAAATCCCTGACCAACAGATTGTTATGGTAGTTAGGCATGGAAATGGGGCTCGGAAGAGTAAATGCCTTTGCCCTGTAAGTACTGGGGGTAAGTTAAACTGCAAGAAGGGAGCTGTGATACAGGCTTCCCTCCTCTTCCAACTCACTCAACAATCTGCTCTTGAGATATCAAAATAAAGAGATATCTAAGCCTCATTCCACTAGAATTTTGTGTTTTCCGTATATATTATATACACACACACACAAACATATTTTTGTGTATTAAATTTTCATACTAGTGGCTCCACTTACTTACGTACAAACTGACTGAACCCACTAAACTCTGGACAGGAATTGCTGTCGGTGCCCTGCAAGCTGCGGCATGAGGGCGAGCGGGGCCGCAGCGAGAGCACACAACTCACCAACTTGCGGATTTCACATTCTAGGTTCTGAATACAGTCCAGTTTCCTCTTGCGGCAGCGCTGAGCTGCAATTCGGTTCTTGCTGCGCCGGCGGACGTCGTGGATGAACTCGAGCTGCTCTGAGGTTAGCTTGTGCATCTTTATCATCATCTGGAAATCATTCCTTGGAAGATCTGTGATTTGATCAACAGGAAAAGGAAGTTTCACCTAAAACAAACAAATACAAGACAAGAGCAGAGAGTCATATTTTGCTTGCTGAATGTAAGCAGAACAACAGTGAGCGGAAGGACGATTACCTATGCTGCCGCCCCCTAAATAAACAACACACCAAGTTTTACATTGAGCAAGTTTTTAACACTCCCTTGTGGCACACTATGGAGGTCCAGCTGGTAAGAATCAGATTGTAATTGTACTGAAATCAGCAATATAGATGAATCCCAGGTAAAAATTTCGTCTTTCTAAAAAGCTCTAATAACAGATCTCCTTGCATTAAAAGAAGGCTCTGTCCACTGAGAGACATGGCCTTCTGGAAACAGTGAAGTACCTTGCTGCTATTAATTTCAAACTAGATTCAAGGAACGGGCTATTACTGCAGCAGGAAACCTGTCTCTGCATGGCCTGCAGGACTGAAAGTTTGATTAGGTCTGAGGTTAAAAATGCAACCTGACACCTCAAGTAGATGAAAAATACCGTATCACAATTAGGAAAGATGGCCTAATCAGCATTTCAACTGAGCAGTACACCATATAAGAAGAAAGGGTCATAGGAGTGTGATGCAACATATCCCACCCTGCTAAAATATACGCGTTTTGAAATAAACCAATATTTGCTGACATTCTAACATTTTTGTAGATTGAAGAGCACCCAAGTTGCATTTATTGAAAAAAAAAACCCAAACAGTCTAAAACCTCAGTTACTTGCAGTAAAACATTTTTCCTTCGGGCCACGAACTGCCATCCTGTTTTGACCGTAGACCATGCGACAGTAGCTCCAGGTTCTGACTTCAGGAATTCCAACCACCTCTCCAACTCCTACAATTATGCATTAAAGCAAAGCAAACCACAAAACTCCTGACAGCTTGGAGCAACGAACACACGCTGTCTCAAAACCTGGAGAATGGCGGGTGTGCTCAAAGACTTCTGTTAGCTCTTTCCCCCAAACCTATCAGCTTGCTCAAATCAAAGTGAGCACCTCTCCCTACAAACCTTACTTCACTTGTAGCTTGAGACTGGTAACATGACTATCAAAAAAATAACATTCCTCAGTGGACTGCTGTGTTTGATTGTCAAATAAGAATCAGTTGACAAAGCTGAAGGAGATGACGACTAACTCGACTGACCCCCTTTCTTTTTTTGAGTTATACCCACATTGCCCAAAAGATGGCAGTAAATATTTACATTTCTGTCCCCATTTGGTACACTCCAACCTCTCGAACAAGAAGACTATTCTGCATGCAGGCTACCAAAGAAGATACAACTCAAGTTGTTCCAGCCAAGCAAAAGATATAGGTTGAAAAGGTTCCTTTGATATTTAAAACATGGTTATCATCTTCAAACAGTGCACTTTAATTATTTGGAGATAAAGAAAATGACAGCACAGATTAGAAATAAGTTCTTTTCATCGGTTTGTTTATGCAGAACAGTTTGCTGAGGACACATGTACACAAACACACAGCAGTGGCCTCTGGCATTGACAGTCACGGACCCTCGCCGGGCACCCGGACCTGCCGATAACCAGCTCCTCGCCTTGTTTATGAGCTTGTGTTTTCTTGTCCTCTTCTATCACTGCTCTGCACATCTCCAAGCCTGGACCACGTGAAATTCAGTGCAAACACTGACCGCATCCTTTCAGATGGTTTCATGCCCTGAATATTGCCCCTCTGCCCCATGTATCCAGGCACCACTTCGTAACACACTACTTGACAGGTCAATTTAAACGAGCAAGAAACACCAAACACTGCCCCAATCCCCCCAGATTTCTGCTTGTACACACAAAGGCTGACCTTAGGCACGGTGATGTGGACTACCTTGTTTACAGACTGCTAACTAATGACATGAAACCTGTTTGATTTCCCCTCCCTAGCCTTTGGACGGTCAACACAAACTCAGTGTCACCCGCTTTTCTCTCAAGCTTCAGCCAGGGTCTGAAAATGAAAACAGCCTGTGCTTTCCTCTGAAAGACACCACAGTTTCACTGCAAAAACAGTCCTTTCACATTCCTAGTTTTTCCTTATTTTCTTAAGTCCAAAGCGGAAAGTGATGTTAACTTTATTTCTCCCTCCCTCTCCCTTTCAAAACATATTTACTTGCAAGGAGGAGATGTGCTTGCAGCTGGAACGAGAATGAAAGGGAAGCAACTTAAATCTGTCAGGTAGAAGTCGCTGAAGGGAAATGGGAAAATAAATCGAAACAGATTCATAAAAAAAAATAACGGATTGAAAATAAAACCATCTATACAGCAGGCCAGAGACTGCTATCAGTAAACCCAGCATAATCCCACTCCTGTCATAGGCTGCACTGCGCAGGATTAAAAACGTGAAAGGGAGAGTGCAAGTGAGTCAGACTCATTTCCTTCACCATTCACAGCATTTTTATTGCCTGTCTCCCTCTCCGCAATTAGCTGTCAACTGAAAAAAAAAACCACCAAGCCTTTAGCACAGACACAGCGAATAACTGTGCCGGGGTATTGCTGCAGTGAGAGGCTAATGGTGTTTTGCACCGGCACAGGGCAAGACTCTCAGCTGGTATTTATCACAACAGAGCGGTAAGTCAATTTGCAAGAGCTGACGACTGTGCCATGGGTGGGATTCATCTGACCCACTTAGAGCCGACTGAAATGACGGGTTGGGACTAGCTAGTGTCCAGGTCCCTGCTGTTGGCATCAAGGACAGAGAAGCCTTCGGGTGGCAATGCATCCCGCATGGCTTCTCCTTCCTCCTGGCTGCAGAAGGAGTGGAGATGAGACTCAGAAAAGATGCTGCATCTTACAGTATCTAAGGTAGGTGAGAGAAACCTTACCTGAGGTGTCTGAAAAAGGACAGCCAATCTTTTCTAAGATGTGTAAGAAAAACCCAGCAAGTATGTTTTCTCGTAAACTTTTCTTTTTAATAACTGTGAATTTTATACAGGAAATGACTGTGTACTCTTTGGTTCGGACTATTTCAAATTAAAAATATAAGCGGGTTGCCTACTCCTTCCAGGAGTTACTCCAGCCAGAGCTAACCTCACAGAGCTCTAAAATCTTCCCTATCAGCACAATTTACACCAACAGCAGAAGCTCTGTTTCCACCATACAACAAATTAACCGGCACCTTCTGCCACTGCTGCAGCCTCTATTGCCCCCAACTCTGGCTGATGCACCCCGAGAGGACAGCCAACCCACCCTGGTGAAAAAGACGACTTGTTTATGATTTTGCGGCATTTTTCCCCTCTGTATTAGCATTAGGGTGCCAGTGTAAACGTCATTGCTTTGAGTGGCTAAGTAACAGCAGCGATCTAGACAGACAGGGACAGCCATTGACTCAGCACATGAAAGGCCCATCTATAACCAATTAATTCCTTCAAGCTTCACTAGTTAGTGCCAGCTTGGATCACATGCCTGTTACTGCTGTGCCGCTCACGTACTCTACTAGTTACTGCTGCTGCTTTCCCCCTTCTGTTTTTCTTTGGAATAAAGGAAAGGACCAAGGCCCCGTCTTCACTCACATTAAAATATAAATGTCAAGTGTTGGGAATTTCCTTATCTCATGAGTAACATTAGCTTTTTCACTCTTTCTTTATATCTGAATTTCAACATCATGTTCCTTGAGCTGCCAAGTGCTAGTAAAGACAACAAACTTCCCAAGCCTGGCTTAACATCACAGTAACTAAAAGGATTCACACATTATCCATAAGCAAAAGTAATCATTATGTATTGGGCATGGGAGGGTGGAACTCAAGGTGCCAACTTGACCTTTATAAATGGTTCAAAAACTCGGTCAGTTGCTCCAGAGTTGTAAGAAATAAAACTGTTGTCTTAATGCCCTTAAATTGAAAGCCAGAGTTATTGAAAGCCTCTGACACTTAAAATTGCCCAGCCCTTGGAAAGCTCTCAGGACCCACCCAAGCAGTCTAACACATTGATATGATTCAGCTTTTTTTATGTAGAAAGGGGTAATTTGCTTCACACAGAAGAGCCCAACACATTAATGCTCTTTTTCCTAGTATCTTCCTTAGGATGCAAGTCTGTCTTCCACAAAACGCTCAGGAAGAAATTAATCCCAGGACAGGAATTGAGGTGTGTCCACCTGTGCTAGGGGCTCGATTGCCTACACACTATTGCAGGCACCGCTTGTGGTCCCACAGGATAGGGACCTACCTGATTTCACTTGGACGGAGGCTATCTACGAAGCACAAAGCCGATGGGCCACACTTTGTGTAAGAGAGAGGACAGACAGGATGCACTCTCACTCGTTTCCTCATCCCGCTGTCTACTGGCATAGGTAAAGCCTTCAAAGCACCTCTTCTTTTCAGGTGTCAACCACACCAAGATGGCAGAGGACTGCAAGAGGAGAACGGCGAGCCCAGGCAGCTAAGATCTACCATTGTGTCAACAAACCAGGTCTGAAATGGGCTTGATCAGCAGGTCCCACTGCAAACAGCCTGTGCCACAACACAATTGATGGCCATGTAGTTGCCCGGGGTCAACTCCAGCCTCACCTCCTGAGGGCCATGAGAGATGTTTGGGTCAGCAAATGCTGCCTGAGAGGGCACTGCTGTGCACTCAGTGGAGGCAGCCTGGGAAACCTTTTGATTTGCCACCTGCCTCAGAGAACTTGGGGAAGGAGCTAGTCCCATGGCTGAGGGCTTTAACCCAACAATCAGGAGATGTGGATGGAGTTCTCATCCTTTAGCCCATGACTTGGACTTGTATTCAGATCATACACTGCTGGTGCTTAAAATGCTGGGCTGACCTCTTCCCGTTCACTGCTCGCAGTGTCCCCAGCTTCCAGCCCTACACAGGGTATGACAATACAATACTCCTGCCCATTAACAGGCTTTTCTGAGAACAGGGACAGCACAAAAACCCCAACAGAAGCCGTAGGTGTATTTGAGAAGGGCAGATCAGGCAGTGAAATGAGGGGTTATAAAGTGCAGTATTTATCTGAAAAATCTGCTTTTGCAGAAAAAATTCAAGAACTGGAAAGAGTCCTTCAAGAGCTCCAGCACGGGCTTCAGCTCAGGGCATAACAGGATTGATTGTAGGCTGCAATGAAATAATACAGTGTTTAAAAGGACCTTCCTGAAATTTCAAGCTTGTAATGGAAAACTCTCACTGTTGTTGTAATCCAGTAATTCTCTGCTACCAGCATGGATGCCACTCCTACTGAAGAGAGGGAAGAAAACAAAAATGCCATGAAGTTTATCTTGCAAGACCGATATTTGACAAGACTCTTTTTAACCATATGTTGCCAAACATAATTCCCAGTGCTCTGCTGATGCTGCCAAGGATTCTGGTCAGGAGAATATCCAGCAGATAAGAAATTTATAAACCTAGTAAGATCAGGAAAGCTGGGGTGACCGATCACCAAATTCTGGGGAGGAACTACATACAAAAGCAAGTTAACACCTTAACATGCATTTTCCTTTTTTATCCTTCTTTCTACGTAACACTCTTCACTGAGTAGAAACATTAAGCAGTGAAGGAGACTCAGCTTAGGTAACTCAGCACAGCTCCAGTAGATTCCTGATAGGGCAACTTTGGTTTACCCCGTTTTACTGGGGCTCTGACTTTGCTAAGCATCAGCAGACGAACAGAGAAAGGGTGGCTGCCTGTCACTTAACATGGAGGGTTTTGGACTCTCACTGAAGGTTGTTTACCTACAATATCCTCAATGGTCCAACTGCATTAGGTCTGCCTTTACGAAAATTTCTTTTGAAAAGTGAGTCACTAACCCAGGCGGGAAATTCTTTTGAAATATAAATGAAAGACACATTGAATGCAATTCTCTAGATAGTAATAGTTCTGGGAAAGCTCCACCTCTTACCTCCTCCTACCCTTGTTTATTCTTTTCCTATGAAAACTCACGCATCAAATTAGACTGAGCTGAGACTTCTTTTTAACTGGTTTAGCAGTACAATATTTTTTACAAGTTTTCTAGCAGAGAAAACCTCCTAGATGCTTGCTGAAGAAAATGAGTATCAAGAAAAGTACGTAGCGCTGAAGTTTCTGTTCCTAAGTAGGTTAACAGATTGACAGACTACTTCCTTCTCAACAATTCATTATTTCAGGGCTTATTGTTTTGTTGTTGCTATTTTAAGCAGGATTGTCAGAACCTGCATGCAAGCACCAAGCGTAAGTCTTCTCTCTAGTATTATATCCCAATAATTGATTTTTAACAACCTGTGGAGGCCTGAGGGAGCTGGGTGAAAAGAGCAACACAAACTGTTAAATGTTTCTATGAAGTCCCAGCAGATCAAGTAGTGGCCCCGTTCCTGCAACTCCGTTAACATAGGGATACCCCACTCTGCACTGGCTGCTTCTATCACAAAGCCTTAAGAAAGGGAAATCTCAAAGATTCTGGGTGGCTCCCTTAACAGGAAGGAAAATGAAAGGCAAAGACATCCCGGACAGGATTTACCAGCGGAGTTATGGGGACCGCCACCTGCTCTGACACTCGCACCCCTGTATGGGACAGGGAGGCTGGCCACAGAGCAGGGTCACCTTCACCCACACGGCACTCACGCCGAGCCCTAGCACCGAACAACTTGGGCATGTGCTCCTGAACGGCATCCATCTGCGGGAAAGCAGAGTGCCCAAAAAAAGCAGAGAGAAGAAACCTTTCACCTACTTCTCACACAATCAATACACCGGTTTTATGACATTAATTCTGGCACTGACAGCACTCCAGGGCCCAAATCAAGATCACAAAGTCCAAATTCCAGGGCAACTGAGCAGCCCCGTGAGATAACCAAGGGTCAGAGTCCATCAGGCTTATTCCCATCAGGCCGCCCCACTGAAACGAAAGCCCACCCGCAGCAGAAAAGCGGCCGCTCTCCGGAGGGGTGAGCGCCTGTGTGTCGCCCCCAGCTATCTTATCAGGTGCTTTTTGAAGAGAAGCCAGCAAACACTGTGTGATCTGATATGACAGGGGGCAAGGGACCCGTCTAGGAAGTTGTCAGGACAGCAAGGGCAAACTGACAATTTTGGGAATGGAGAAAGATTCCCATACAGCTTAAGGGGAGGCAAAGGACAGAAAGCAGTTCATTTCAGACTGCTGTGAGTCTCTCCTGCTGTTTTAATGGCAGCCAAACTACTGAAACTAGGTAGAGCAACTTACACAAGAACTTTCTGCTGCCATTAGATATTTTCTACTGCCTGGTTTAACATATCCTTCACTGAGGTTTCCACAGCAGCGGATCTTGCAGGATCGCAGGATACACACCCCAAGTCGCTGAATAAATACAACATTGTTTAATGAGGTTGCAGTGTCCTTTCTTGTACTGGTAATAACCTTTACAAATTCATTTTTCAGACAAAATCTGTACCGAAACACTGGTGTGATCTGTTTACCCTTTGCTTGCTCAGGATAGTGCAGTGCAACTTCACAGAGCATTAATTTCCTCACCACATTTTTAATGCCTAGCAGTCCTAATCAAAATGCCCTGCAAGGGGAAAAAAAAAAAAAAAGAAAGCCTCATCAGCATTCCCAGGGAGAAAACTTGCTCAGCACGGTGCAGAAAATCTTCCCAGGAGGAAACCAGCAGCAAAACTAGGAGGGGAGCAAACCCTTCCTAGCTCTGCCCCAGAGCCAGACACGTCTGCCTGCCAGTGGCACACCGAGATGGCCTCCCATACCCGACCCGCTTGCTCCTCTTGTGAATGTCCCCTCCTCTCATCCATGCTCTCCTGCACACATTCGCACACTTTTTTCAGGAAACCACCAACAATTCCCTATACCTTTCTCATTTGACTCTTTCAGGCTCATTTCTGCTGCAGCATCTCCACACAATTAGCCAATTATGACAGCTAATTAATCATCAACCCCAAAAGGCTAACCTCCTGCCCTCTTCACTGCCTCACACTGTGCATTAGCCCTTGCTGAGCAAGCAGCACACGTGGGTGGAAATCTGACGCTCCCCTCGGTCCCACTCCCTGCTCCCTTCTGCCCCTCATAAAGGCAGAACTTCATCGAGTAACCTTGGTATTGCCAAGCAGAGTGGTTCTGCTCTAGGGCTTCCCGAATGAGGTCCTACGCACAGTATCCCAGGCAGCCTTCCAAGGAGACTCCTCTCCCTTCTGCATTGTCCCCAGCTCAGGACATGGGGACAAACAAGAACCATCCTCTCAAAACCACAGGTACAGCATGACAGGGCTTAGGACACCAGAAGTGCCCCAGGCTCTTCAGCTCTTCTTTAGAGCTAAGCAGAAAACCACTCAACTAAAGGAATCATCCATGTTTGTCTGGAAGGTATCTTCCAGAGCCTGGGATGTAGCTGGAATAAGGATTGAGGGATAAAATAAAGTTCACTCTTTTTATCCCTAGCCTACAACTAAGCCCAACTGGTTCTGTCCTGGGTGCTCACAGCACATGAACCCCCCAAACTTGCACTCGCTGCTCCCTATGCTGAAGCCCAAGCTCCCAGTGGAGCATTTCAGCATTACTAGAGAAGCCATTACGTGATTTCGCACAGACGCTCTCCAGGTCATGCAGTTTCCTAATGAAACTCTATGAAATAAACATCCAGTCTTTTTTCAGTTTCTGGGCTCCACAAAGCTTCTCCATGATTTATGTCTTCCCTCAAACTAGTGACTTCACACAGACAGTTTATTTCATCACGGTTAGCCAGTTATCACCGCAGCATCTTCAGCTGACCCATCCCTAGTTTTAAAGCGGGCCCTCTTTCTCCTCACTCTTGCAGGAGAGCTGCATGACAATTCACAGCTTGCTCTCCAGTCCCCGACCATCCCCCTGCCGTTCTCCTAACAGTCCTGTAAATTAAAGGATAACTTCTCTTTGAGACCATTTATGCAACGGCTGCTAAAGCTCGCCACCAAACAAAGCGGGGTCACGGGCAGGAAACATCATCTCAGTTGTCACTTAACAGAGGCAAAACCCATTACCTGCATGTGCGAGACACACACACACACACACAGAGGGAAGATGACTTGAACACCATTCCCGCAGCTGACGGTGGCCAGCTATGCAACCGCTGGACTCGATGATCTTAGAGGTCTTTTCCAACCTTAATGTTCTAGGATTCTAGGATTCTGTAAGTCATTTCACACCTCCTTCTCCTCCCCCTCTGTCTGCCTCCTCTACTCGGGCTGTTAGCGATATGTAGCAGGAGCTCTTGGTGCAGGCTGCCTGACCCTCAGTGCCAGTGAAGGCACGGCTTGAGGTTGCTCAAACACACCAGCAGCAATAACAAGTGGAGCTGGAACCACCTGGGCAAACTAAGGATGAGGAACGGTGCTTTGTGCCATGGGCGAGGGAGGGAGGAGGGCAGGACATTGCCAGTAGACTTCTAAGCACATCAATGTGCTCTCATCATTCAGCAGTTTGCTATTGCCCCATACCCAAATTCTGATAAGCGCCAAACACCTCGGAGGTCAAGCAGACCTATTTACGTGAAGTCAACCACGCACACTCAGCTGACGGGAGAATAAATAGAAGTTACTCTTTGCCTCTATAAACAAAGAAAGTGCTGGGGAAATGCCAAGTCATTCGAGAGAATAAAGGAGCAATTAATTGCGTCACAACGACTGCGATATATGTACTTATCTTAAATCCCTACCTCATGCCCTCTGTCTTGCACAGGACATGATTCACTGTCTGCTTCTGAGAATGACCCAGACTCATCGCTGGAGTTTGTTCCATAGGATGGCTCACATTTAATCTGGGCTCGGACTGGGTTGTACAATCCATCCCCCACCACGCCAGGCTCCTGGTGCTCGGGTGCCAGGAAGCGGGGGCCTTGGGAGCAAGGGGAAGAGGAGAGCTCGCAAAGACGCAGACTGCAGGGAGAGCCGCCGCTGCCGTCCTCTGCGTAAGAGTAGGAAGAGCATGAGCTGGAGGTCCTGGTTCTGGTTTCCAAAGGAGGAGAGCGTGGGCAAACTTTAATTGGCACCGGACAGCTGGTGTTCGGCCGCATCCTTCCTGGCAAGTGATCAGCTGTCAGTCCGCTGTGCGAATAGGTCTGAGAGCTGGGGAGAGACTGGCTACCGCCAGCCCACAGACCCTTTGGCACAGTCTCAGTGAGGTCTTTGTCCAAGCTGCTCACACCAGAATATGAATGCACCGAAGTGTTTACTTGGTCACAAGCGTTTGAAGAGAATATAACACTCCTCCTGTCCAGTTCCCCTTCTTGCTTACAGAGAGTTTCAAAGCCGGGCCCCCTGAGTGGCGATCCCACTGTGAAGTTGGAAGCATCCTTCTGCATGGCATGGGACTGTCCATAGTTCCCTGTGAAAGGGACATAATTAGTTTTGTGGTCACCCTGAGTTGTCCCTTTTTCAAAAGGGCATGCTGGACTCCTGCCAAAGTGCTGTTGGGAAGTGCTGGGGAAACCAACCAAATCTATGCTTTTTGTTCTGTTGAAGAAAGACCGCAAGCAAGAAGGAGAGGACCCACTTTTTGGCCTGTCAATGCAAGTGGGGCTTGGCTGTTTCCTGTCCATTTCAACATCCCCTTCTTTATCCCTGATGTCAGGTTCATCTCCAGACAGGCAAAGCGTGATGCTTTCTTCATCGTTCTCTTCATTCTGAGGCTCGCTTTTTATCTGCCCCATAGCAAGTCCTGATTTGAGGCCATTTCCAGAGCTCTCTTCGCTGAATGTGCTTGCAAAACCTGAGGTACTGATGTGTGATGTGTTGTAGACATTCTTGGTACAAGCAAGCTGGTATTTCTTGTATCTGGGGTACCGTGTTACTGCATCTTTGTCCAAACTGTCCTTGCTATCTCTCAGCATGTCAGAGTCAGGCAGCATCCCTTCGCCTTTGTCTGCTCCAGCAACAGTGGTTTCAAAATTGAAGGGCTCTTGGTGCATCCTCTCTCTTGGGCAAGATATTTTTGACGTCTCCGATTCCATCGTCTCCTCCTCATCTCCATCCGAGTTCTCCTCATCGTGCATGCGCTGACAGGTGGTATCTTTTTTGCACAGGAACAGGCCATCTTCATTGTTCAGCAGTTGCGTCTGAAGGAAGCTGAAGCAGGAGTCCTCCAGGTTGTGCATGCGCAGGAATTCAGCGCAGTGGATGACCTCCTGGATGTTTTCTCTGCTGAGTAACAGCTTAGCGGTGTAGGCAAACTGTAACAATGGACCAAATCCCCTGACAGTGACCTGCAAAAAAAGAGAGGGAAATTGCCAGCGTTACCATCAGCTTTTGCTATCATCCCAAGTCCTTCAGCACGTAGTTAGATAACCTAACAGATCTAGCATCCAGAAATAAATACTGCTCAGTGCCACTTACTCGTCTATCAGGTCAGCAACGATGCTACGTCCACCAACTAGCACTGCTCCCTTTAAGTTGCTCCTGTATATCATTGTACAGGTTGAGCTGAGCATTATTTTTCCCAAATATATTGAAGACCTATGAACTAAGCCTCTGCTGTAATAAAAGACTGAAAAAACAGGCTGGTGTGGATGCTGCTAATTCTTGGATGGATCTTATTTTAACTGTGATGCAGCCCACCACCCTGGAAGTACCAATTCAAATTTGATTCCTCTGCCTTGATGGAAGCTCTGGTGAACAGTGGTTTCAAGATTAAGATACCCCTTAAATACCAAAAGTGTTTTGGGAAAGAAACATTTAATACTATAGAAAAATTTGACAGAAAATATCTTTCTGCCTCTTTCAAGAGCAAACTGGTTCCTTTTTTTCTTCTCAAATTTTTGCAAGCCATTGCTGAATAAATAATAGGTAAGTACAGACTGCACAGCTGTTTTCTCCATCCCATGGAGATTATTCTCCTCATACTGTTCCTTGATTTTACTGAGTCTAAGGTACAGCTAACAGGAAAGAAATCCATATTCACAGTTCAAGTGATACAATTCACTCCGAGTCCCACCTCAGTACTTAATTTTCCAGCATTTTCTTTGTAGAAAGAGTAATAACAGTTTCCAGGAAAGTGATCTCCAACCAACTGTTCCAGGTCTGAGTTATGCACCACTACTCGTCCTTTTTTCTCATCATGCCATCTACGCTCTATTTTACATTCACATATCATATATTAAAAAATACACACTTTCTCCCCCCAGATTTTTTACAGTGGTATCTTCACACATAACTATCAAGTAACTTGCTAAGCCACATGGTAAATTATAGATATTGTCTATTTTTTGACGAAAAATGCACTGGCACTAAGTTCTGTTGCATTTTTTGCCGTCAATGGGCAGGAAACAAGGGTACTGGAAAAACTCTATTCTTCATGAAGTAGTGAGAGGCTGCTTCAAAACCAGGGCTTACCATCAAGGATAAAGGTTTCTCCACAAGAAGGAGATTCAGCGGTTTGGCCATTAAGATGAGATTTGGAAGACCACAACTCAATTTCCCATTGCACCGAACACCTTCTACATGACCCTGGCAAGTCATTTCAGTCTCGATTCACCAAGACACCTTCTAGCCTTGCTTGCAAGTCGTATTCAGAAATCTGAGTCCCTTGTGCTTCGCACACCAAGGAAAGGCATCTAGATGTGATTCAGAGCAGCCAGACAGCTAAACCAGGCGATAGCAACCATATCTGGCACCTATGTGTGGACCTGCACACCTGTGTGAGGATGGGATGCACAGCCTGCAACCGCCCTCTGGCTGTAGGTGTTCCCTACAACCTCCCTCTCTGGTAGGTGTTCCCAGCTCAGTTTCTTCTTTTAAAACAAACAAGAAGAGGAAGCACTGCTGTCCCCTTTTCGTAAAATAGCCTAAAGATCAGAAGAGGGACTCAGAAAGTAGGAGACCAGGTCCCTTCCCTAGGCGGTGGGGATTCAAACTCACATTTGCCAGCTCCTCAGAAGGATATCCTATCCAGTAGGTGAGGGATACCCTCTGAAGGTGAGCTGCTTTTCCCCGTCCTTCCAATTGAATCAACACCCCTGAGCAAGAAGCTGCTCAAGAGGTCGGTGAGATGTCAGACAATGAATTTGTGATGGTCTTATTAGAGATTAGCATAAATCTGAGTGAATAATTTGGTTCATCCCAACGAAAAGCCTATAAATTCCTTACACTGCCTCAGGACCAGTGGTAGAGCTCACAGATTTTTATAGAAAATCCTGACTTCCAGAAACAAGCCTTTGTTACTCATAGATCTGCACTTGTGATGCTGGATTATGAAGATAGCACAAGTGGTGCAGACTTTGATGGAGAGAAAAATATTTTAAAACACCTCTAAAATTGCTCCCAATAGCTTTTCCATAGATAATATTACTGCTGTATCCGCTATTTTAAGAAACAGCGCATTTTCATGCACATACTTACACACTCGCATACTGCTCTTTTACAGTACGCCTCTGGTACAGAATTGCCTAGATTTACAGCTGGCTATTAAACCGATCTCTGCTTTATCAGTGTTACACTTTCTGCCTATTTGTTAGATTATCAGCTCACTAAAGGCCTATCTGCATTTTATCTGTGCAGCATGATTAACAAAATTGCTCGGGAACTTAATGAGCTACTCGCAGGCCAATGTTTCTCTTTGATAAGATCTTCAGTGTGGGGGCTTACATATTGTAAGCTCTGCAGCAGCATAGGTCCATAGGAGCAGCCATAAATACCATCTGGGTATTTATGATGAGGAGCGACTCTGGAGCACAAACCCAGCTCTCCTGGCAGTTGTGTCACTTGGCCACTAGGTGGAATGACTGGAAAGCAAATTAAAATAATTTCCTGTGCTGGGCCAGGGTTTCACCTGCCTGTCCAGCGCCCCAGCACAGGCACGCTGCAGAGCCTCGGGCTGACTCATACCACCCCACAGCAAGGCTGTCTCCCACGCTGACTCAGGTTTTCACTCCCAATAAACCGCCGTGATAACGAACAGCAGCAAGACAGCTGTTACAGATGTTCTGCGCTGAGTGTATCAGAAGCAGAGCCCGAGACTGCGCTGTGGGCTCCCCACGATGCCTGGCAGATGCCTTAAGTGAATGATGATGAAAATGCTGGTCAAACATGCGCCTTGATTTCGTTACGAGATCTTACCCGGTTTCACAACTTTCCTCACTCTCACAATCTTCCCCCTTCAGATCCAAAGGGGGAAAGTTTCTTTTCAAGCACCCGGTGCCTGTCATTGCCCTCAGGGAGGAATCTCTCAAGTGCCAATGCTTGAAACTGCACAAACAATAACTTTGGTAACAAACGGATGCAAAGCTTGCTGCCAAGTGTGAAAGCCAGGGCAATCTCTGTCGCCTGAAGCTGTCTAAATATTGATTCGGCTCCCGTGGCAAGTCCCCTGCCTCAGCCCCGCCAGCTTTGGGACTGCCCGCATCTGATGCATTCTGGCAGGAAGGCTGGAATCGAGGCACTGGAGCGTGGCTATGAGCACCGCACATTGGGCAAGAAAAGGTTTCGAAGCTGCATGTATTACCATCATACAAGCATTTCTGTAGGAAGAGGTAAGAACAGTCTTTTAAAATGATTTGACCTGACTGATGCATCCCAGTGAAAACAGTGAAACCAAGTTGATCTGCGTTTGCAGAAGGAAACAGATCATTTCTCTGATATAACAGTCTCCATTTACACGAGAGAGACCTTCGCTGGATGGGTAAAACACATGCCAGCAATAATTTCAGTTTATTTTTTTCCCCTACTGTAAATAAGATGCCATATATCCAGGAATTGTTGCTTTTAAACCTTATTTTAAACGTAAATTAATGCTTAAGTAGGCAGGTCAATTTGTGGGAACCTCCACTGGGCACCTTGGCCAAGCTCATACACCAAGTCACTGCTTCCCTGCTCTCCAATCATCTGCCTTATTCCAATTTTTACCCATTTCCATTGTTTAAGTGGAATTGACTGGTGACAAGAAAACCAGGCAGAGAAAAAGTAAAACGTACATACAAAACAACAATGCTCACACAGACAAGAAAAGCAAAGCAAAGATCTCAGCTTCTCGGAAGCTTGCTTTCCTTATCTTTCAAGGCAGGCCAGGAGACGACTTCTCTTGTGTACTTGAAACACACCAAATGCCCCGCCAAGTCTAAGGCTGAATCACTTTATTTTGTCTTGCTCCTGTCCCCAGCTGGTCTTTTATGCATTAAAACCCTTCTGCACACCTAGTGCACAGAGGACACGGGTACTGCAGCCCCACCTAAGCCATCTGGCACACCTTCTTGCTCTACAGCAATCCAAGAGATCAAGCACCAGGGTCCACGTGCAGCTCCTGCCTCTGCCATGCTGCCACAGGTACACCACGCTCAGCATTGCTGTATGGAGGTCTACGTCAATTCAGCGTTGGGGCAATAACAAGCCTGACCACTGCTAAGGTGAAAGAAAGAAAGTTCTCCAGCCCTTTATCTGCCACTTGTCTTTCAGATTGACCTAGCTGAGCCAGGGGATGTGTTTTGTATGTCTGTGCCCTCATGAGTTTATCATATTGAGGAACGGGCTGGAAATAATGCAATGATATAATCACCGTCAAGAGAGTTGTTAATCAGCGTTAGCCGTATTGAATTTACCAGCAAAATACAGACAGCAGACCTGCAGAAAATAAGCATGCAAAACCTATTTTAGTTCAGTCCGACACTGCTTTTCTCCTTACCGAGTCCTGTGGAGTGCATTGCTCTGGTTAGTTTTAATTGATTTAAGTGACTAGACTTCCACTACTTCCTTTGGGAGATCATTGCCAGACTCTACTTAAAACCTCCTTGTGAGGAAATCTTCCTTCCCTTATTTTCCTCCATCATCTCTCATTATATTTCCTCGATGCATTCCGGGTAATGCTTCTTCCTTTTGGAGAAATAGTTGTATCGTTGTTATACTCTCTGCCTTCCCTTCTTCTTTGGTTGGTATTATACCATTAACGAAAAACTGGCTAATTCAAGGAAAACAATATTGATCACTGTCAGATGGGAGAATAAGAAGCTGAGACAAGAGTCAGCAATGAGAAATGCTAGTAAAGAAGGCAGCATTACGGATGCAAATACAGAGCGTTTTTAGCACAGCATTTTTCTAGTATGGGCACGCACTATTCTAAAATTAGGAGGAGGGTTAGCTCACTTCCGCGTTAGGAACATCGTATTTTCATAAGGGACTTCTAGGGCATAAATTCTATTTTAAATGTAGTTGTATACACACCCACAGGCGCCACGGGAGACACAGAACTGTGGGTGAACTCCCTCTGGCTCCCCGGGTC